TTTCCAATTGTGTTCTGAATGATGTTTATGAGTCGAACAAAATCCAATAACGTTCATTGGATGCGGATTCTGGGAATGATTACATATTTACTTCAGTATTCATAGTTACATAATGGCTGAATAATATTAGTATATTGACTGCAAATATGTAGAAATGATAGAATATGGTCCCTTGATAATTTCAATAAACAACAAGTGTTTACAGTTCAAGAAACAAGTTTGTCACGAGGCTGAATGTTATTTCGCGAAGGACACCACTCAATACTCGTGACTGCGGGGTTTTTTTTTACCCGTCGAAAACCGGCTGACCTCTCAATAAATAATCGAATTAGAATTGATTTCACTGTGGACAACGGACACAGTAATTAACAAACAATACAATGAATAACAACAATGGCAATAAATACCACTACAGTTTCCGAAATTCCCATGTGTATGAAAAAGTAACGTTACTGGTAACAAATGCCATGGTCCTTTTAATCAGCCAGCAGAGTTTTCTATCGATATGAAATCGACAACTTCTTGTCGAAACCCCAGAAAGGTCTTCAACCAGCACTCTTTTTACTGGCTCGGTATGTTCACACCGCAGTTAGTGGCTAATAAAATGCCTTCGTCTTACATGTCCTCAATGTCCACCGTCAACCAGATTTTATCCCACAAATTCATGGCGTGTTTTTAAATTCCGAGATCACTGGTGCAACTTTCAACACCACGGGAAACAACAATTATTCGTTCACAGAGCAATAACCAGTAGTCGGACTTCTTTTTTGTTTTACAAAAAAAGTATAATTGTGAATTTAGTCTTTTTAACGTGATCGCGAAAAGTAGCGTGACTGCGAAAGAAATCCCGACTGGACGCATTCCACTGAGCGGAAAATAATTAAGTAGGGGTACTGCCACACGTCATATTATAGAACTTACGAAATAATGACACAACGGCCTCGCCATGACGTTTGTGGAGCCTGGCAGTTATTTTCACTCGTGATGCCATGTATCCATGCTTCGCTCGTGAAAATACGGCCGCAGAGTACAACTCTTCACTCGTGCAAATAACTTTCATACTCTGGGCGAAGCTATAGTTTTCTCTCGTATAATTGAATTCTGAATGTCTACTATGTTGCTCTATGTTGTGTTTAGGGGTAACATCGCCACTGGATTACCATCTATTCGCATTAGGATACGAGTCAAATAGGCAACTATGACGGCCTAGGTGTTGAGCGGCTTGTTGATTCACATCAGGAGACGGGCTGCCTCTTTGAGGTCGATCATATAATAATTCCCCTTCTATTCACAGCAAACTTCTTTCTGACTGTATTTTAGCACTAATTTTATTATCCGTATGTGTCGTCTTTCACGAGACATATATTAATAGATTGATTGTATGTAAAAGAAAACACTTACTGTCTATATTCTGGAAGATCTTTTCTTCGCGTCTCAGCAGGAACTGCCAAAGTTCGTCTGTTTCACTACGCTTTCATTCCTTTGTATTTGCATATATCACATGAGTTTTTGCTTCAATAACAGTCTAGTATAATAGGATTCCATGAACAACAACATCATACTTCTATTTATAACTACTTCCTTGTAAATTGTATTTTTTGTGACTCACACTTTATAATAGTTTGCATTGTAACGCCAAGAAATATCAAACATCAAACTGACATCAAAGGTTACAAAACACAATGCACCCACGGTCCCTCACGCACACACACTGCGACTAAAGAGGGGGTAACAACTCAATGAAAATTCTGAATTTATAACAGAAACAAAGTGCACTGATTATAAACTCACAAGTCTCTTTTACTATTCCCAGTTCACTATTCACATTCAAACTAACAAAATGTGACAACAACTTGCAAAATCTCACAAGAAATGGTAGGGAAGGGACTGTTGCCCCAAAGTTTACTATAGAAAACTCCACCTTCACACAGACAGCTAGACTTTGTAACTTAATTATATTATATTAAAAAACTAACATTATCTCTCTAACTAATTATGACCAAAAGCTAATTTGCATACCACAAAAGTGCAATTATCGACATCATATGCTTTCGAGTGTGATAGACTAACTATTTTAAGGGTAAAATGGACTAGGGCGACGTTCTTCATCTTGCTTCTCCAAAGATCTACTTCCATCTACTTCTAAGACATCTTTTATCATACCTGGTTTTAGAACATCCTCTATCATATTCTATCCTCCTCTAGTAAATCAGCATCATATCATGCTAATACTACAGATTGAAAATTCCCAAACAGTAATCAACATCAGAGAATTGTGTCTAAGAAAGTGCAACTATGGATTCAGCTGATGAAACTGAAAAGTTTCAGACAAAGAACAGACATAGACAAATAACAAATGCCAAACAACAACTAAGGAGACTCAACCTAAAGCATGTTTATGTCTCCCGAATTAGTCAATGTTACTGCCTCTACACAGAAGCACATAAAACAAGACCTATCAACCATAAAATACAACAGGTAGACTCAAAACCCACAGTTTTTGACTCACTGAGTAGTAATATGCTTGCAACAATACACTCCTAGGACTGGGTTCAAACGCTGGTACATGAATGTTGAATTCAATTGCCTTGGGAATCACATGTCCAACTTTGTTCCCACAACATGCCTCCAATTCAGCCATCAGCTTACAAACTTGCTTCTTACAGTCCTCCAATTCACCTTTTATCACAGCATATTGTTCTGTCTCAGATGACTTTGGCCAACTGTCAGACTGCTGTGCACTGTCTATAAACTCATCAAGCCCATATCTCAAAGGTGGCCTATGTACTCTCTAGGATCTTTTCACACTCTGATCCACAGATGGTGCATCACTGGCTAAGTCCTTGTCAGGTGCAAGTTCTTCAGCAATGGGCACCTCCATACTACTGCCTGCTTGAATCGGACCATTATCCTCACTCCATAATTCACTTTCACATGCCAAGCATTCAGACTCAACCATACCTCTACAAACTTCCAAACAAGATTCTGCTAGCGGGATCTGTCCCACTGTACCTATATTAGGCATGCCCTCTATTTGTCACCACTCTCTTCATTTTGTCATGGTCTTGATACAGAGCCGCACCCAGTCCTATCTTGTGTGCGTGACTTAAATGGTTTCTCATAAGCCAACACTGGTGGTGTTGTCAGACGTGGTGTTGTTGTCAACTGACGTTTCAAATGCAGCCTGACACTCCACAGTCCATTTGAACTCTGGAAGTTGTCTTCTGTCATTACATTTATTCTTGTCAGTTCATTCAACGGTTTTGCTGTTTTCACAAAGTCCTTCACATAGCGATAATAATACCTAGCAAAACCCAAGAAAGTCTTTATTTCCTTGGCACTTTGTCGAACTGGCCACATATGCAGGGCTTCTGTCTTGGCAGGGTATGTGCGTACCCCATCCTTAGGAACAATGTGTCGAACGTATCTAACTTTCCATAAAAAAACTGGCACTTCTTGGCAGTGACCTTCAACCCATTGTCACGCAGCTTCTTCAGCACCTACCCCAGCCTCTCAAGGAATGAAACAGAGTAAAAATTCACATCATCCTGATAAACCAAACATGTTTCAATGGCAAGGTACCTCGACACCCCTCCATAACTCTCTCAAATGAGGTGGCACAACCAGAGAGCCCCATGGGAAGCCTGATGCACTAATAGTGGCCAACTGGTGTCACAAAAGCAGTCTTTTCAATGTCACGTTCATCCATGCTCATTTGCCAGTACTCACACTTCAAGTCGATGGTAGAGAATCACTTCTTTCTAGGCATCCATGCTTTCCTCTTATCTGGGCAATGCATCGGCATCTCGGATGGTTTTCGAGTTCAATTTGCGATAGTCAATGCAGAGTCGCATACTCATTAATAGCCATCCTTCTTCGCAACCAACACAATGGGAGCAGTATAAGGGATGTTTGATTCTCTGATAATGCCACTATCTAGCATTTTTGCAGGATTCTCTTCAGCTCACTGTACATTGAAGATGGCATCCCTCCTGTGTATCTCTCTAACTGGAATGTCATCGGTCAGACGTATGCGATGTTTCACTTAATCACATTTGCCTAGATTATTCTCATGCTCAGAGAATGACTGAATATAACCTCTGTAAAAAGCTCTCTGCCATCTTCAACTCATGCTCATCTATAGATTCCAGATTAAACCGGACTAAATTAAACCGCATCTATTTTTAAGCAATGTGACTCCTCATTGTCATCAAAATCTGAATTGTTTTATTACATATTCTCACAGGAACCCTTGACTTCCTTTCCTCACACTCCAACACATTTTCTGCTGGCTCTGCCACTACCGATGCCCAGGGGTAATAAATTGATCTACAGCCACAACATATTATTTAGTGCCACCCTTAAACTTGCCCCAAATGATCTGAACATCGGCACGAATCATCACTGGCTTGTTGATATTAGCTTGCACTTCTCCTACTCGTCCTCTACGTCCCACGACCTTGTCTAGTTGCTGTTGACCTCATGTATCTAAACGTATCACTATATCCATGACCACTCCCATTGTTCTTGAGCAGTGTCACCAATCCAATACACGAGCAGATCAAACCATTCTGTTCCACGCCACAGCATCATTGGTTAGCCTTGGTCATCTTTTGATGGATAAGATCTTGCACTGAACTTTCTGGACTTCCTGTGTGATTTGGATACTATGCTGGTTGCACAGTGAGAACCTGATCTCCAATTAGGTCCATCCTTCTCTTTGTCCTTTCTTCCAGGGCAGTTTCTGGCGATGTGACCAAATTTATCACACTCATGACATGTAATTTATGCTTATCTCTCTTTATTATGCATGGACATTCTCTCGAGTAGTGTCCAACTTCTCCACGTGAGTAACTTGCATTTTCTCGTGGCTTGGTGTCAGTCTCCCCAGCTCCTCTGGTTAGATTTTCCTTGCTTTAAACCTCACATAGTTCCAAACTGTTGTCAATTGCCTCCATGCGAGTCACTGATGACTCAAGCGGTGTAAACACTTTCTGTAATGCTTTGATATGTGCAGAACCAGATCCTGAACTAACCTCCTGCTCATCGCACACATCCTCACCGGACAATTGTTGTGATTGGGGAACAGGCGAACTAGATGCAAGTCACTTAGCCCGATACATCAGATTCACAATGGTCAACATTTTGTTTTGTTGTATGCCACTCCAGTGTCTGGATTGATCAGATATCTCATACTCAGTAAAACAATACATGCAAGTGTTACTATAAGTTGACCAGAGCCATTCCCTGGATTGTTTACTGTAATTTGATAACGATTGCAAACATACATCATAAAAGCCGTACGCGAATGTGATGACTAACTTGTAACCATGGTAATAAAATGCACGAAAATCAAGTTATTTTGCAACCGAATTTCCGACATTTGTGGCTGGATTTTGTTCAAACACATAACTAAAATATTTATCTTTCGTGACTGTAATGCAGTGGGAAAGATATATGAAGACATATTTGAATAAAGAGTCCAATGTGTGTCTGTTATTTCATTCAAAACTACAATTACCGTATATTTTTAAAGCCGACATATAACAGAACACATATAAGATAATACGTAGTAAATCGGTGATAAACATTATCATTACAATTTCCATTACACAAATATGCGTCCTGTGCCATTGTATTGTGTCTGGTATTAGCACAGACTTTGCACAAAACAGGGATGTACAACACACTGCCAACTCTAAGTATTCCTTTTATGTAACATTAGTTATAATTCCCTACACAAGTCGCACCTTAGGGTGTCAATACCAAAGTTACAGTCTTTCCTGCTCCATCATCCAACTTTGTTCTTAGATTATAATCGAAATAATTACATTTTATCAGCCCATTGATTCTACCGAGTGAAACTAACAATTGCGATAAGTTTTTGTCTCGGTATTACCAAATGATGTCTGTAGTAAATTAAATCGTCTTTTTTGAATTAGAATGCAGGGCGATGATCTGTCGGGATAACTGTTATAGAAATATTTATAAATATCTATGAAACCATTCATGCATTCGCGAAACTCATTGTATGTGAACATTACTCCAAAAATGTAACTATTAGTAAATAGATAAAAACTCAAAATTAAATAAATAGTGTTTACTATAGTGATTAACTAATAGGATATTTCCTACACGCCAACGCACACATATTGTCATCCACCTTACATCGAATCGTGTTATCCACTCTACCAGCTGACACAAACACATTAGATTGTACCCGTGTTTGTAAAAATGACAACTTGCATACATTAACTGTTATTTTATTTCACACCAGAAAAAAAACCTGATGACCCATCTTAAATATTCAAGCCCTAGATTCAAGCATAGCTTTCCTGTGCACATTATTTGTGTAAACATTTTGACTAAATAATTAACTTCTATGACATACATTATTGTCCGTACAGTATACTAGTATTTATATATTGCATTATTTATTAGACACTCTAACAATTGTTCAAATACATTATTATAATCAGCACAGGTGCAGAAGGTATTTCTAAAACTACATGTCCAAAGGGGTAATAAGTGTTGTACAAAACCAGTACGACAGATCACTCACCACAGTCCTCGCTTCGCTAGCTACTCCGCCATCTTAGCTCCACCTGTGTATATTCATCCTGCCACAGAGGGCACACCTCGTAAAACCACTTACGCAAATTAATGTAAGAGTAAACAATAAGAATTCATGACAGATGGGAACTACAAAGTACATTTTTAACACATTTCACCATTCCACCTGGTTCACAGAAAATCGATTTACGAAATGTTTGCCTGGGAATGTTAAAAAATTGTTGAGTATCAAAATAAGCATTAACATGTTTATATAAAAATTGCACCAAAACATTTGCGTCTGCTAGCTATCCTGTCCACCAATATGCCCATGTTACTATGCTTTTTTCCTAGTTAATCATGATTTACACTAATGACTATAACAGAACGTCATAAAACATAATATTAGGGGTGAACACAATGTAGTCCGAAATTAAGAAAACAATTGGGTGAAACATGATCAAACATATCTGATGTTAAGCTTTATGAAAATCATAAATCAATCATAGTTGACCATGAAGTGCTGTAACGGTTAAGCTTAATTTGCATATTATGGAACAAAAATATTATTTCGGATCAGAATTGGAAGTCATACTCCATACAGATTCTTCATCAATCATCGCAAAACGAAAGGGGACAATTTGTTATATACAACAAATGTTGGTTTCAGTTCGTTTTTTTTGTGATGAAAAATCGAATTACAATTGAAATTGTACTCAATGAAGTTTGACATGTTAAGGTAAATATAATGTAATGCAAATATACACAGATACATGTCTCTGTGTGTTGGCTGGAGCAGAACAAGGTAAAATGAATTAAATTAAATTATAATATAATGCAAGTATGGCTAGAACAATAATATGTATGATTACAAAATAACATTCACAATCTTGTTCACTGCCTGCGAATGAATAAATGTAACTGTGTTCAAACATGTTTTCCATAATTTAGGTTGCAGGACATTTCAAGAGATAAAACACGTTCAAACATGTTATAACCTGACTGAATCTATTTGAAAAATATGTGAACGTGGTCATCCCTGGTTGGAACTTAAGATGATTGAACGTGTTCTGACTACTCTTATAACACAAGAAACTATGGCAATTAATTATGTTTGAACACAATCTAACATTTTTAAGCCATGATCCTTGTGGTTAGAATGGGGCTTGACTAAAGGGTTGTTTGTCTTTGTAATTTGGTCCCAATTTACAGTACAGGCAGAAATGTTCACAGTTGTTCACCAATAAATCATACTCTCCATCTTCAGGCAGGCCTTCATCTAAACAGTTTCTAGCTCGACGCAAAACATCCTCCACAGGATCACTGGGCTCAGTACAACAGGTTCCACGTCTCTTTAATTTACAAGCCAACCAGGGATGATCATACCTGTTGACGAATTACAGGAAATAATTATAACTCAAAAAGAAGCTTAATATTAAATAGAAAATATGGCGTCATGAGATGGGATCTAATAAGAAGTTCATTTTTAAAATGCATTGTTTTGCCCAGAGTACAACAAATCGTAGCCAGATAAGTTATTTCGTTTTCAGGATATTGAACTGTCAATTTATTTCTTGGAAGTTTGATTAATGACGAACCTATAATTGGTACATGTTCACATTAACAAATCAGATCCCTGTTATGTTTATAGATAGTATCCAATTTCTGGTATGAATACCTTATTAATTTGAAGCCGAATATAATTATAACTCTAAAAGAAGCTTAATGTTAAATAGAAAATATGGCGACATGTGATCGAATCTAATAAGAAGTTCATTTTTAAAATGCATTGTTTTGCCCAGAGTACAACAAATTGTAGCCAGATAAGTTATTTAAGTTACCTTATTAATTTGAAGCCGAATTTGTTTCACGGATAAGTTTAAAGCAGCACAAATCTATCATAAAAACCATCATATCTAGTATAACATGTTACACGTATACAAATGCTTGAGATATGACACAAATGCACAAATGACCATCTAATTTTGCGTATTCCGGACAGAACGTAAAAATAAAATATACCTGCAAGTACCAGCGACCGGCCGGCAACCTGTAGGCTATTTTACCGCATTGCACCACTGATGAACAAAATATGAGTGTATAT